AGCCCCTTAGGAACACATTGATCCATAGTATTTTTGATGCTTTTGATCAGTATTTCAAGGAAAGATGCAATGTCTTCATGTTCCCTAACCCTTCAAATTAAACCCACTTAATTTGTGATAATTCATTAATCCGTATTGACTGGGAAAAATAAACCTTGTTACATTTCTGATAGATTTCTGATAAATACAATTTTTATGGAAACCATCTTGTGCAGTTGACATGCTGCTTTGTGTGTTAGAATGATAGAAAATAATTATAAATTGCATAAATGAAAATGCATCAAAGATTTTTTTATTAGAGTGTGTTTTAAAAGAGACAAGGCAGTTTTTTTTTCCTAAGGAAAACTCACTCTGTCTGCTACCTCCAGTACAACCTGCTATAATTATAAAATTTAGTGAAGTATTAAAGAAAGCTGGCAGGTGCCTTAGAGTAATACAGTTTTAGATCCTGAACGAAAATCTATTTACATACATAAAATAAATTCAAATCAGCATTTTCTTGTGAAGTGCAAGCACAGGGTACAATTAAACCTGTTTTAAGTTTTTCACCAGATTAATGTCTGAATAAAAATTCATAAAGAATAAGGAAAATGAGGAGGCTGAGCTTCAGGATTCATAGGGATTTTGTATGAAGCCCATTTAATCAGGATAACACTGTTATTAATATTCATAAAGTCAGCTGGAATACAAATGACAGACTGTGGAATCTAGAAACTTTCACTGAGCGAATTTATTAAACGCAGCTTAAAAAATTAATGGAATTTAGTTTATATTAGGGGGAAAGAAAATCCAGTATTGGTTGACCAAAATTGGAATTAGAACTTTCTTTTTAAAAAATTCTATCTTTGACAGACTTCAAAGGCATTCTAAAGAAGTACGATGCATGATTGGTCATTTAAAAGGATTTAAACACATTACGCTGCAGTAATTGTACATGAATAATAAGTAGCCTACAGAGGCAATTAGCTTAAAGTCTACAAAGCTAGAATATGAAAATCACAGAAAGACAGTAAAGGACAAAGAAAAGTGAGAAAAGTTTGAAATGAGGGATCTAATGGTTTTAAAAATCAAGCGCTGTGTTGAGTGAATGGATATGACCTCTTTTTCGGTATGGCTGCTGTAAATAAGTCACTTTGAACTGGTTTAGCTGTGACGGATTACTAGTGAATTTGTATGTATAACGTGCCATAAAATTCTGTGAGTTTTGATTGAGTGAAAGAAGATATGTTTTTTGTTGAATTTTATCACCCTGCAAATGATTTTTATATGCATGTTTTTTTTTTTTACAAAGAAACCCGGGTGTTTTCTAATTAAGGCTACTTTTCTGGACACCCTACATAAAATGTTGTCAAACCAAACACAAAGGTATGTGATGGTCTCTGTAGTGTAAACCAGCAGTTTCCGATTGGCTTATAAAGAGTATAATATAAAGCTTATAAAGAGAAGCATCTAACTCCTGTCCAGTTCATGGTTGAATTATTCCAGGGGTGCTGTGTTAATCAGCCCTGACTGCTTCCATTCAACAGGCCCATGCAAAGACAGAAACCTAAGACTTTTGGACTTGTGTGCATTTTATAGATCTGTTTGTTGATCTACCTACTAGCTGATAACTGCTTCTCAGCCACAGAATTCCTACAAGTAAATGAAGCTTTATTTTAATGCTGACCCACAGAGCCAATTTAACAAATTGGATGTTCATATTGTATTTTAAATATCAATTGGGTTGTTTCTATTAAAGTGGCTTATAAGCATTGCATACCTAGAAAAATAGATAAGTTATGGTACATTATTAGTCCAGTGTTCATTCTTTATCTGTTTTTGCCAAGAGGTGTGTGAAAAACCTGTGCATCAAAATGATACATTTTATTTGTATTTCCAGTGGAATGCTCCTATCAAAATTATCATGATTATATATTATTTCTTTTAGTCTTTTGACACCTATATTACAGTGCATAAATGTAAAACATAATTCACAGCTTAATCAGTCTACCAGTATTATTAAGGATACTGCAAGGAACACATTGGACATGAATATTTTGCTGAATGTCTCTAGCTATACAACAAATAAAACCAAAAGGACAATCTTAATTTTTTTATAATCCTTTTAATTTGTTTCAAATGTTTCCCTTGTGAAACAGGTTTCTTTTTCTTTTTGAACAGAAAATGTGCAAGGATTACTTTTAAGTTCAGTCTATTTATAGAGCGATTGTGCAACTGTGCTAATGCAGGGTTTTTTTTAAAAGGTAGCAACCAAAAACTGGCAACTGTCTACCTTCATAAAAAACGTTTAGGTCCATTGTAAATGTAAGCCTACAATGTTTTTACTCATCTCCTAAAGAGATTTTAAAAAAACTATTCGCTTTGTTCAAAACACAGAACACTTCTGGCAATATTGAATCTTTTTGCATATCAAATCCCTATCCAACACAAGAACTTACTATTTCATTCTGATAGCAGCAAAACTCAGGAATGTAGGTTTCCCAGACCTAACTGAGCTTCGGTCTTATTACTCCTACTTGTCAAAAAAGTATTTAGCTTACTGTATGCAATCAGCTTTAGTATATAACCAATATTTCTTCATTTCTGAGTTAAGCAACACAGAACACATGCAAGAATATGATGGCTTTGTCCGACTGCAGGATATGTCGGCTGTAAAGCTGAACAAATGCTTTAATTGTGCCATGTGTCCTGTTCTGATTTGAGCACCCCGTTAGTACTTTCTTTAGTTCTGCAGTCACGGCTCCAGTGTCCTTAAGATTTGGGAATCACGGCAGATACTGTACACCTCCCAGTCATCGATACTAGGTGAAGGTTAGACTTGAGCTGGTGCTGCCAAGGTGAAGGGGACTTCTAGACGAATTTGTGAGTCAGTAGATCCTCCAGACACGTGGATTTGATGCACAACATTTTGTATTTCCCTTCGTCTATTGGCAATGTGGCACAAAAACATGAAAAACACGGGCCAGTTCTGTAGACATTTGCGAGGTTGCTTAGATTCACATTATTGTGCATTTTACTATACTGCCATCCACGAATGATCTGGTGCAAGCTCTATGCCCACAATGTGCTGCAATTAATCTCCGAGCACCAGACACTCGGACACCAGCTTGTGCTCGGCCAGAGCCTCATGTGGGGAGCTGGCCACCACATGTCAGGGGACCGCCTACTCCGCACCAGTGAAGCTGAGCACGGGGATGTGTGGAAAGCTCAAATATCTATGTGCCTGCGTCTCCTTTAGTCGTATGCTAGTGCCTGTAAAAGCTGCTGCTTGTTCTAAAGCATCACAGGGGGAGGCTTAGCGGAGTCCTGCAGGTCCCCCCTAGAAGAAGTAGCTTGTCTGTTCGTGCCCGACTGCACCCGGTGGTGCTGGCGCGTGCTGGCTTACAACGCAGAGATAACATAATACTGGCATCTGCCCTCACTGCCACCCAGAGAGACAGCCGGCTCCACCAGCAGAGCCCGATCCAGGGCTGCTGACGGACTGCAAGGCGAAGGCGAAGAGCAGCTCGCCCACGCCTCTTCTTTAAGTCACATCTGTTGCGCTCGTTGCCGGGTTTGAACCCTTCGGAGCAGGGCCTCATACAGGGGCCAAGAACTTGCCAAATTATCCCTGCTACTGATGTCGTGCCGACCAGTCTGACAGGCCTGAGGCCTGCTTGGCCTGTAGGACAGGACCCATGTGTATACGCATGTATATCCTCTGTACACCTACATATATAACTCACTACGAACATTGGCTTTATATATATATATGTGTGTGTGTGGAGGGGATATACAGCATGTATACAAGTTTAAATAGATTGTTATAGATTTGTATATCTATAGATCTGTATAGATTTCAAACTCCATTCTACTTTTTTCCTTTCTCAAAATAGCGTGTAACCTTTTTAGAAATGTAGGAATTGAGACTTTCAAGTGACAGGAGAGAACCACTAGAAGTTGGTGATAACTGGCTGATCAAAGAGTCTAGAACATTTAATTTTTTTTACAAGTGTGCTGATTATGCTCGATGTTGTGCTACATTCATGATGCAGCTTCACATTTCAGGGCAACATATGGTTTTGAAGCTCCAACTATTTCAGCAGTTTCCATATAATTGCTGTGATTGGAACACTTCTTTGGGTTCTCTTATTTAATACGTCATCAGTTTAACACCTTGTCTTACATACTTTTATGTACAGCTGGTACTTGGTGATTAATTGGTGCTGGTAAAAGCATTCATTATATCATGACGAATATATGTTTAATGAAAATATATGTTCTATTATTTTTGTAGAAGAAATGATATAATACATAAGAAAATATTCTATAAAGTAAATCTTTTACTTAAAGGATTGCTTAAAGTTTTTTAACTGTAAATCAAAAGAAGGGTTTTTATTTATGATGTGCTACAGCTCTTTCTGGTTTACTATAAACATCGCCACAAGAGGGCAACCTTCTCCCGCGTCTATCGATAGCGAAGCAACAAGCTCTGCTTCGAATGTCAATGTTTCTTGTAATTGCTCCCAGTCTATTTGTTGCTTGCTTACGAATTAACTTGCATTTATGGAACTAAATCATTCCAATCATTTAATTACACCTGAGGAGCTGAACTTTAATTGCTTGCTGCTAACAAGGATCTGATATGGCTTGAGCAGTATTAATTTGATGTTTACTTTTCTGAGTGCTAAAAGCATTAAAATGATTGCGCAATGGGATTACGTTTTGTTAATTGCTGGCATTCATTAACTCGGTAAATGGTGAGGTAGAATGACTGTACATCATGGAGGGATAAAATTATGATTTAAATCACAATTTCGCTCAGCACATTAAGGCTGCCTGTCTTGTTTTGTAATACTCAAGAGGTTATGAAAGATCACTTTTCTCTTATTCTCCATAAAACGTAGTGAACGTAGTGAAAAGCCTATAATTAATACTAACCTTTTTAAAAGTAATATACTGTGGCTGCCTGGAGTGAAATGCATTTTCTTTTAAATTAATAATAACCCCTTATATTTCAGCTAATCCCAAAGTAAATGAGGAGCTGAAACAAAGGTTGCCCACTACGCTAAAATACCACTTCAAAGAGAAGCTATTGCAACATTCAGATCTGAGGTAAAGAGTAGCATACTTGTTGGTATTGTGTTACTAAATTAAAGCATTGTGTCAATAATGTGACTTTGAGATTTTAGTTTTAATTCTCTAAGCCTTGGTGTGATCTAGGGGTCGACTGTTGATGTGAGACTGTCCTGTAACATTTGTTCAAATGTCCTTAGTGATGTCAGTTTGACTGAAAATAAGTGAAGGCTGATAGTCTGATGTATATATCCACCACAATTAGATTGATTGAAGCAAGCATGGGAATTGAAAGGCTGTATAAACTTTATCTCACTTCTAAATCCTTTGATTTAAGCCACGTGAAATATTATTTAAATGGCATTAGATGGAAACTATTTCAGAGCTTATTCGGTTAGTGCCGTTTGATCACTTTTTTAGACATTATACAATTGTTTATTTTCGGTGACATACCACTTCCCTTATTGATTTTAGGAAGCAGAGTTAAAGTTGGCAGCAACCTTTCAATATTGCTTAACCTGCACTGAAACACAACGTATTCGCCAATTGGTTTGTTGTAACACCAGCCTAACAAAAGACAACAGTAACGTCACTTGTAATCAGGTGATTTAAGCCTAAAAGCTAGTTCAAGATGAGAAGCTAGAATTTCATAGGAAAGCAGCAGAAATAGGTAGTGTTTTCCCTCTGTTCTTAGTGCACATTGAAAGCTACCGCATTTACGAGACTATAAAATTGGTTAAAGAGCAGTACATTTCCAAATCCCCTTTTTACTGTAACATTCTACATACAGTTGTTGGTCGTCTGCATTTTTTTAGAATCCTTTTTAATAGGCCACCTGGCTTCCTGTTAAAGCCCAACATGTCACAGGGCCAGAGGACGGGTGCCCCTTTCGTGGAGAGGAGCTGTAGCCCGAAAGGCCAGTGGCTGCCAGAGGTGCTGTTCTTTGTGGCCTGGAGACAGTGACGGGAGCAGGCTTCCCCCCAGTCCCCTAAGCCCTTGTTTATTTGTACCACTTTGCCATTACTACCTGGGTCAGCTGCTGAGAACGGCACGGGGCCAGCTGGAGGTAGAGGTCTGCCACAGATATGAGAGATGACTTAAAGGCAAATATATCTTTCGTACTAAAAGGCTCCGTGCAGTTGAATTCTCACCCAACACGTCCTTAGAAAATTCCTTCCAATTTTTTTTTTTACCAAGGCCCAGTTATAATGTGAGGTCCAAACGCTCCACAGTGAACATAGTTCAGCAGGTGACTTCTGTAAACACGCTATAGTTCTCTTGGCTAGTTGTTTGTCCTTGTGCTATTGCTGTATTTAATAATGGTGAAGTCGGCATTAAAAACCTGCTTAAGTTAAAATCCTGTGAGAGGATGGGGAATCCGCAGTGTATCGTAGGCAGAGAGAGCTTAATAACAAATGGGTGAAATGTCATAAAAAATGGAAACCAGCTTGATGTGAAAAATTTATTCTCACATCAGACCATATGCAGTTTTGATAAGAATATTTAGTAGGTAATTTAATATTTAATCAATGATTTATATTTAATAGAGCTACTTTTCATGGTGAGCACTTTAAATGCTAAATCGGTATTCTAAAATTCGCTCTCCTTCATTTGCAACACACAGTTAAGAAATGTAATACATTTTAATTTGTTTTGAAAATGATACATAAATATGCCCAGTTTTTCACTCCATGGTAATAGACTTCAGGTTATGTATTTTCTTTTTTGTTTGCAATGTTTTTTATATTTGTTTGTTTTTTAAGTTTCCAAAAGGTGGAGGCAGGCTCTAATCCATTGTTAAGTCAAACAAGTTTTGAAGCAGGAGCCGAAGATCAGCAAGCAGGTAGGTGATTTTAAAGGGCACAGAGACTTTGGGGTTTTGCTGCTGTCAAAGGCACAGTTGAGAGGTTGTTTGCTTTTGCTGATATTTTCTAAATGTGCATTTGATATGATATCACCTTTATTTCTTATCTAAAAGGCTGCAGTTCTGAAACAAATTAACACTTAACATTTTCACTTTGTGGGAGCTATAAATTGGTTCAGAAATTTATTTTTACAAAGTGTACTTTTCACTTTGTGTTTTGTTATTGACTTCAGCAATGCACCTAGTATTTTGAAAGACTTTTTCTAGCTTCACAGAGATGTCCACTACCAGCCCCTCCTGTTAACAAATACACAGTTGTTGGTGGCTGTTCAGAAACAGAAATGTATTTATTTAAAATTTGAATTGTGTAATATAAAATTGGAAGAATTAAAGAAATGCAAAGTACTTCTGTCACACTGGAAGAAGCACAGTGGAGAGATTCTGTTGTGTTATGTATATGTTTATTCAAGCAGAGCGCAGATGACAGAGAGTAATACTAGAAAACTGGATGCCTTTGTAACAAAGATGTGTGTGCAGATCTCATGCTTCTGTGTGTGTTTTACTGCATTTAAAACCTTGAATTCGTCTTTGTTATCCTCCTGTAAGAATCTGATCTTCTAAGCACTGAAAGATTTTAAAAAGTCCCTTGCTATTTACCCGATTAGTGGTGTCGTAGTCCTGTTTTGTGAGATACATAAACATTTATTTACATGTGTAAATCGCCTCTGGTCATGGTGTTAGCCTGCCATATAATAACTTCACCTCAGCAGTAATGATATGGCAAACCCTGTATTTAGATAAACTGGATGGAATGACAATGAGAGATAAACAGAATATTTACCCATCCTTCATGAGGCACTGCTGATATGTAAATTTATTCTTCTTCTTTGCACAAATATACATTTAGGCTGTTGCTTAAACACTTCAGCCTCACTAGCCAAACAGTTTTTAATGATGCCTGCGGTATTATTAATGTGTGACATTTGATGAAAGCTTCATGTAGTTTCTGCTATCAAGAGAAGAGCGAAAGAGACATCCTTCAGTACCAGGACAAGCTCGACTTCTGCTGCCTGTAGCCAAACTGGCTTTTTGGGGTCTGCCAGAAGTGTCTTTTGCGGAAGATTTCTAATCTCAGATTTATTTGAAGGAGAATCTAGAGATCACCTTGTCTTACTCATAGGAAATGGGAAATCTATGGTCAGATTAAACAGGAGCCCCTACAGTTGCGATGGAAAAGCCAGTTTAAACACGCACATACTTAGCCAGTCAGCATTGTGAGAAGAAAAAAAAATGAAAGTAGTAACCCAGGTTTAGGAACAAAGTATCTAAAAAGTCCCATATTTGCCAAACAACAAAGGGGTTATATAACTGCATTTCATTTTATTATTCATGGTTGAATTTCTTGTTTGCTCTGGTGAGCGTATGGAGAATGCTAATAACTGGCCACAACAATCCAGAGTGAAGATCCTGGCAACAAAGCTATGTGGCAGACCTCCCTGATCTTTAGTTCAAAACCTGACCTTTTGCAAAATAATTGTCAGTGCTAAGCTGGAGAATTTGGTCGTAGTGGCAATGCTCAGATGCAGTGTTAGATTGCATTTATTAATGTAAATATCTCCTGCTTAAAAGCGTTTGAAGCATGCTGTCTTCCTCTGGAGCTTTTCAACTGCGAGTAAAGGGAAATTTTTTAATCAAAACAATTTAAGAGGGCATTCATGTTAAATCACTTACCTCTGTGTATATATTTCTTTTTAAATCTAGTCCGACAAAAGTCAACGCTGATTTTAAACTCTGCAGTTGATGCACAATTTTTTCCCCATCAACTGAATGTTTTTAAACATTCCGAATATGCAGCAGTGCATCTGCATTGCAAATTTGAAATGAAGGCAAACAACACTACAGAAAAACTGGCTTTAATTTAGTTCAACTCATTTTATTCCTTTAATTAATGTTAATAGTAGCAGTAGTTTTATAATAAGTACAGTACATGTGTAGCTGGCCCTGTTTCAGACATGTCAGTTGTAATGCAGAGAGCCAAAAATGTGTCCACCCCAAATTAGCAGCTCAGAAAGGTCTTAGAAAGTTTGCCAAAGAATAAGACACTTGTGTTTGCTGCACACCAGGTCTTTCAGGCATGTTTCTCAACCGACATATTTACAGAGGGCATGTTTGTTTTCTTCCTTGGCATATTGAGTGTCTGTGTTTTATGCTGACACAATGGTGTTTTGACTTTTCTTAAGTGGTTGAGAGTGATCAGAAAAATAAAACGGAACATGTGAAACTGTTTGTAAGATCTTTTTTTTTTAAAAAAAAAGCATGGGAAAATTTTCACTTCCCTTGCTATAATCATATAACATCAATGACATTGTTTTCCTGATAATGACATCTTCTTCCTTCACATCAAATATTATAACTATTATTCCTTTATCCCAGTCAGCAGAGAAACCCAGCGCTCCAGGGTGAAGGAGGAAGGGTCTGTGATATATCTGCCTTATCAAGACCTTGAGCTTGTGGCAGTCAGAATGTCCGATGGACAGGGGAATTTAAACAGAGAGCCATTTTCAGCAACCCTTAGTCTTCAGGAAGGCTATAGGGGCATGAGTCCTGAACATGACTACCTCAGCCAAGCACACGACAGTGGAGACAGTTCTGTGCCTGCTGAAGACTCCCATGAAGTGAGAAATTACAAACAAACTGCCCAGAGCCCCGAGGATGCAGAGGAGCACAGCACTGTCCCCTCTTACAGACGTCACATTGCACCTTCCCACTGGGGGAAAGGGGCAGCAGACAGGTGAGAGACAGCCATCTCCTACTTAGATTTTTCACTGGTAAGTACATCAGTGAAACACTTGCAGTAGCTGAAGTAGAAAGACGTTATTTATGTTCCAAAAACTCTTTTTATAAATATTTACACACATGCTGTGTGGTAAAGTGTATGACTATAGCTCTTGTTTAGAGAAAGAAATATAAAACGTAGAGTATATTAAAATGTGTTTGTTTGGTAGCTGACAGATGTTTGGGAACTGTGCTTGTAAAGAGAGTTTGATCTGTAATTGCTGGCCAGCTCTCAAAACAATATACAACAACAGGTGCATCAGTCTGAGTGATGTGTTTCTGTTTTACCTTTCCTTTAAGAGTGAGATTGTAGCGTGCTTTACACACATTTAAATCAAATTTGGCTCAAACGCTCTGTAATATTTTGGCACCGACGTTGATTCATGTTACCACTTGCACCCACAAGGAAGTGTCTGCTTAATTGGGTGTTCCACAGTTTTTTTCAGTTATCGTTTAAAGCGTTCAAGGAAAGAAATTAGTTTTGCAAATTTAGGCATTCTTCGCTGGAGAAGTACACGTGCAAGGAAATAATAGGTGGGCCAGTGTGTTGTTCCTGCACTGCAGTACACATCTATCTCCGCAGAACATGTGCTCCTCCGAAGCAGTAAAAAGCAGATTTTTTTATGTCACAAACTGACTGTGACCAGGATTTCCCAAGAGGGGGAGACGCTTTGGGTAATTTAGGATTAGCTAGTCAGGGCTTGCCTCATTTTTCAGCACAGGGCCTCCCATGACCTGCAAGGCTCCTGCACGATTTCAGTCATGTTAGTGAAGTAGTGCCCCCCGGCCGGAGCTGGGCTTGTTGCTATCAGGCCCTGGGAAGCTTGCAGTGTATAAAATAGCAAATGGCTCAGTGGGTGAATGAGCCAGAGGAGCATGTCTGCCTATCTCATCTTCTCCCACGTACTGTAAATGTGGCAGTGCAGGACACCACAGCCCCAGAACAACTGGCAATTCAAAACTGAGTGGGTCTACAACAGGATCCAATAACTAATTTCAGATTCCTTTAAAGAAAGTGTATGGTTGATCAGGGAAGCTTTAACACCCTAGTGAGCATACAGCATGTATTTCCACTTTCAGCTCTTTCTTTTATAATGTCATTCCCTTTGAGGGCTTTTCCCTTGAGCAGTGTACGTGTTTTTGTTCATAGTTTGAGCATCAATACTGTAAAATGGGGCCCACAACTTGGTGGCAAATTAGGTATCTTCTGCCTGCTGTGGCACAAGTTGTCACAGTCAGTTTTACGTTGATGTATAATTTTAGACATAAAACAACAGGAAAACTTTGATGCTCTTTAAAAGAGGTAATTTGACGTGAGAGTACATCAGCAAGAACTGAGACTGTTTTGAAAGCTATGATGTGCTCCTCCAGCACTTTAATAAGAACTGAATCCAATTCATGGTTACAAGAAGGAAGTAATTTACCCGGTAATACACAGAGGTAATATCTTAATATTATCTTAAAGGTCAATTGTATGATTTGCCTAATATTCCAGAGTAAATAAGGCAGTGTAATGTGCTTTAAAGTCTCAGATTTGTGTCCCCTGTGCATATGATAATTGACTACCTGTGCTTAATGACTAGTCTGAGAGTATTTGTGCTGATGATTTCTTCTACCTCAAGTTTAATATTGAATCTGGATAAATGAGTTTTTGTCCTTTTCTTTAACAGCTTGAAAGAAGACCAAACTGATACAATTGCAGGAGGTTTCTTAACCTCTTTAGAGCCAGCCCCTGTCCTTGATAAAGAAAAAAATATAGCTTTCCTCCTAAAAGAACTGGATTCCATGAGGGATCTTAATAAAAAGGTAAATATTGTGTTTTGCATACTCGTATTCTGGATAAGCTCACATGCAGTCTAATACTCGGTCTTGAGGGCCCAGGCAATGTTTTTTCGAGAAACCGTAGAAATGTGTATTAGAAAATTACTAAAATGCTAAATACTGCAACACTAAAACTTTGACATTGTCATCAGTTATGCACATCAGGTTGTAGGGACAACTTAGATGAGTTTGCAGTGTTGTCTTGGACTCCACAAAGAGGTCCTCCTGCTTTCTGGCCATGGATTCAGCTCATGAGAGCTGGCTGGAATTCTGTTTTTCCACACTTATGATGGAAAAAGACACTGCTGTTGCCTAGAATACTGCTGCAGGTCCTGTCGGTTCTATTTTGCTTTATTGAACAAGTTGATGATGCTTGGAGCAGTAATGTCTGCATTACAGCTGAGAAGTATTTAGGAAACCAAACAGGACATCACGGGGAAAAGTAGACAGAACTGAGGAGTAATCCAGATTCAGAAGTAGTTTTCATAAGTTAAACACAAACTTAAATGTTTTTTTTCCCTGTTTTTTAAATGGAACATTTCAGCTTTTCATTGGTGTTAGGAGTGGGGTCTTCACTTTACTCAGCAGTTTAACCCCCTATAGGGGGCGCTGTTGTCAACCAACTACGATGAGACAGACTTGGAATGTAATGGCAATACCTCTGTGGGCTCTTAACCTCAAGAATGTCCTGTTTTCTCCTGGCTGATGTGGAAATCTTTTGCGATGCAGCCAAGCCCTAATAGAAGCTCACCACATCTTCAGGGCCAAGGTTGTGTTTGAACCCAGTAGGAGTGAGTCGTGACAACTTTGCCCTTGACTTTTTAGATTAACACGCTTGCATACAACATACCAAATCTTGGCTGCTGCTTCAATTTTGGTGCACCTTATAACATTACTGTGGTTGTATAAAATAGTAATGAAAACTGTCAACACAGAGAATTTAATTATTTTTCTGTGAGAGCAGTGTAATGTATTTAATATATAACCTATTTATCCTTTAATTCTTATCAGTTTGCATTCTCTGCTTAACCAGTGGAGCACTTCTCAGTGGATCTTCTTCAATTATGGGGAGATGCATGGAGGTCCGTGATATATGTCAAATAAATAATTGTGCTAGATGCTGGTTTTGCAAGATGTCGAAAGAAAGCCTCCGAATCCCTAACCCCTAACTTCTTCAGATATTGCTAGATGGTGTTTTTCCTGGCAGTCCTGAGAAAGCTGCATAGGGCTCTTCTGAAACATGTTTTGAAAAAAATTAAACTCGGTGGAGAAAAATATTTGAAAAAAGGTTAAATCAATAATTTGTCACTTGTAAAATATAACTTCTAAGAGAGATTCACTGGTGACTTTTTATAATGCCTTTGATTATGTGGTAAAGAAACTGGGAGCAGAGTTTTCTTCTGCTGCAAAAACATTGAAAAGAAACATGTGGCACATATGTATCAGTCTGTTTCAGGGGAAACCAGAAGGCCTCACTGGGTTGTGATTTCTGGAGGGTATTTCCCAGCCATTCTGAGTGGTGTGCTACAGGTTTCATGCTGGGGGCGAACTCTTTTGACAACTGAAATAGGCTTAGTTATTCTCCGTGATTGGATGTGTTGGTTTTCAGTGTTACAGTGTAAATGCATTTCTGTCATCTTTGATGCAGAGAGAACAGGAGAGACAGGAAGCAAGCTCACAATCCTATTCCCTCCCTGAAATTTCAGCTTCAGGACAAGCTTGCCATGAAGGAAAAGGAGGTGGAGACAAGGCAGGTAGACGCAGAGCTCCAGGAATCGCTGATAGAGGCCCTTGTGGCGGAAAAGGCTGGAGGTGGGTCTAATCGCAGCACCAGAAGGCCAGAAGAACAGAGCACGCTGTTTCTGTAGCCCATAGTTTAATAAAGATTAGTTGTATTTACAAAGGGAAGAGCATGATTGTGGGTCATATTTTTTTTTTTATTTTGATAGCGCTTTGGAACTGCTCGTGGAAGTTGGTGGTTTTAAGATCCTGGTCCTGGTATTAGTGAGGGCTCTACCTGGATTCATACTGATTGGGGAATTAAATAGATTGTTAACACCACGTCAGTCCAGCGACAAAGAGGCTGTTTGTTTTCTGTGGTCCTGATCAAACAAGGAAAAGAGTGAATAATAATTGTCAAAGCTGTTGCCTTCCAGCCAGGAGATTAAACATCACTTATTGTTTTAGATTATGTAAAGTAACCAAGCTCCCCCTCTGTTTTTTTTTGTATGGTGATATTCACCAGTTTTCATTATTTACCCAACTGATACTACCGCTAAATAGATCAGAGGTTACTGCAGTGCATAGAATGAATTCAGATCCTCAAATTCTAACTTTAAATCTTTTCTTGAATTTCTTAAATGCATCATTTTATGGTGCAAAAATTTCTATTTTCAATTTGTTTTAAAAACAATGTTTTACTGTAATTTTTTTAATGTTAAAAAGAAAATATAACTATCCAAGGTTCAGGTGATTTTTCTTTTTGGCAATTAAGCATAGTTCAGAACTTGTTCTTCTAGCTAAGAGAGGTTTAAAAAACAAAGACAGTCTAAAGTTTAATTAATGTTGAAATCTGGTAAATCTGGAGAAAACATGTTAAAATGTTTTAGAATTTAAACTACTTTTGGTATATTCCTCCTATTTTGTAGATGTATGTAATAGTATTGTTATTAAAACATTTCCCAGTCAAGGTAAGGGGAAACTGTTTTTAATAGCTCTGTTAGCTGTGTGGGCACAGGCACTGTGTGATTTGCATATCTCATAGCTAAGTAACCTTTAGGCTGTCATCTGTGTAACGTGATTTATCAACATTTTAAAAAAAGAGAAGTATTTACCTTCTCAATTTTATCTCATGGTATTTACAGAGAAGGCCCTAATGTTAATGGCAAACACAGAAAAAACTTTCGTTTTTTCACAGAAGACAAGTAGTCTGGTTTAGCCTGAGGTTGTCCGACGTGTACTCCATACCGGAGAGGAGATGAGTTTTTCATAAGAAAAGTCCAAATATGTAGCTCTTTTCCTATTCAGATTTGTGCTCCTACTTCTTCTTTATTTTTACTTGTCTCTGGCAGTCTTAGAATTAGCTGCAATTAGCTTGCTTAATAAATCTGAGTGTTAAAACGGTAATAAAGCATTGTTTATTCGACAATGAATTACAGTATGTTTGCCAATCTTATTTAAGAATGGAGATATCCAAATAATATGGTAAACACACACCAATTTGTTTTACTTATAACCTGAGTATCTTAACAGAGTTGGCTCACATAGTAACTAATCATATTTGTTAATGTAATTTAACTACTGTGAACCTTTGCTGAACAAATATTGAAATTTTGTACTAGGCAAGAGCAATTTTTCTAACGACTTTTTTTCCAGATAAAAGCTCAATCTGATAATTAAAATAAAACACAAGACATATACGGAATGCAATTAGCAGTCAATTGTACATTTAATAAAACTAAAGCGCATATATTTGCCTTCCTCATTTTAATATAATTTGCATTACTACTGGGGGTGTTTAATGAGCAAATTCCAACTAAAATGCATTATTGATTTCCTTAGTGAACTTTGTAATAGCTCACTGTCGCTCACAGGCTCATGTTTATCATTAAGCTATTTTGCTATATGTGCAGTCGTGGAGTATTTTTGGTCTTGCGTGGATTTAGCACTGAATATTAGGTATTTTGTATATTTACAAGTTGGAACTCATTACTGTCATCCTCAGGTCTCACATCAGGAAAGGATGTAGGGATCCAATACATAATCTTATCAGCCGCTGTTGTACTGTAGACACAGCACCACTGGAAAACCAGTGAGGAATTCAAATCATAAAGTACACATCTCTTCATCTTTTTATTTTCAAGTCACAGAACTTCGGCTTGTCTTTAGATGATAAACATTGCATTTCTGCTGCTGTTTAAGAGCTATTTCGGAATTACTGGGTTTGTTTTTTGTCTTTTGTTAGGATGCAAAATACTTAAATCAGTGAAATGCCATACCTTTATCAAGCAAAAATGCAGCGCTTGGCAAAATGATTTTTGTCAGACCATCTGATATTCTGTTTTTTTTTTTAAACGGTTACCTTTTAGATATTAGTGTGAGAAGGTTATTGTCACTCACTAAAGAGAAGTGCTTGGAAGACATTTCTCTGTTTAATTTAAGAGGTGTGCTAAATAATCAAGGTTGTTTCTGTCACTGTGACTCTTTCACAAGTCAAAGTTTTTTTTTTTTTAAGATAATACTTTCTTGCGGCTTCTTGCATTAGCAGAGATGTAATTATATAGGAGCTTAGCGCAGTTATTGTATGGGACCAGCTGCAGCCTCTTTGAGTTACAGAATAATAAGCTTGTTTTTCTTTTCATCGCCAGCGTTGGTGGAGGAAATCTACTGTGCCCAGAGGGAGCGGGACCAGGCTGTGATGGCCAGACTGCGGCTGGCCAACGAGGAGCGCGACGAAGCCCTGCTACGTGCCAGGCGACTGCAGCAGGCGGCCACGGAGTATGTGCGGCATTGTGTCGCTGTTATTTATGGCTTGCACTCACCGTGCTTGTTGGTTTTAGGGAATACGGGAAACACAGAAGTTTGAAAAGGGAGACTCCAGCCTGTGAAAGGGTTTCCATTTGCTTTCTCTCTTGTGGAATCTGTTCTAAGCCCATATGTTAATTCCTTGGTTGCTTCTTTTTTTTTTTTTTTTTTTTTTGGGAAGGCGGGGAGTTACAATGAATTGGGGAGGCGGCGTTCACATGGTGTACTTTCCATTACTTAGGAAACTGCTTTGTTCTTCAGGCAGAGGACAAGGTGAA